TTCAATATCTACAGGTTTGACTGGAGAAATACAGTGCAACTGCCTGAAGTGTCTTTTCCAGGACTCCAAGAAGCACCTAACACAAATGTATCATGTTTTGCCCAATTAGTTTACTTGAAGAAACAGCTTTGTCTTGCATCTTCCAAATCTACTCCAGATTGCTCACCTATTCTCATAAAGCCAAGGCATTTTAGTGTTACTAAGTCAGACAGAACATGGAAGTTATTGTAGCAACTATACTTTGCTTGAAAGACAGTTTAAGCAACAATTACATCCCAAGCTTTATTTAGCCATCTCATTTTGTAAGAGAAGGCAAACCTAAGATAGCAGAAATCTACCCCACTCTCACCATTAAGATCTTTTCTCCCAGGAGGGGTTTCTTCACCTCATGGACCAGCCCATTACCGAGGAATGCTGGGAGGTGGCTAGTACAGATGTTCCTTGGAGCCCTTTTGTAGGGGCAACAGAGGGTTCTGGGCATTATACCTTAGAATAAGATAAGGTACCTAGATCCAAAATTTGTATTTCTAGATCTGAATAGCTACCTGGTAGTGTTTTACAATCTGGCAATACTAACTTCATAGCAACACAAAGACAACTGCCAAGCAAAATGCCTCATTAGTTGACTTCAAAGCTTTCTCAGTAAAATTACAGTTTTTGTGAAGCATGAGTTAGCATGACATGCTAAATTAAGACACTTACTTACAGTACACCAGTATTGCTAACTGTAGCCTGGACCTGCTTGTTCACAGAAACAAAGGAGTCTGGTTGCATTGTGCCTTGAGGGCCCCTGGTGCATAGTTGTCTTTTTCCCGGTGTCATCCTGCACCAGTCAAGCATATACTTCTACAGCCCTCTTTGCAGGTGATGTGAAAGCGTTTCGCACTATACAAGTGTTTTACATCAAGCTACTCCCTAGGTTGGCTGGGTTTCCATTAACCCCGTCCTCCTGAGAGTGCAGCATGACCCCAGTCACATTATAGCTGAGTCTGTCATGAAAGCCTTCCAACCAGCCAAAGGAAGCTCATAAAAAGCTGATAAAGCTCTTTAAATACTAAAGAGATGCTGCCTAAAGGGGAACAGAGAAGGGGGGAGGGGATGCAAGCAACTAAGCCTCCTTCCTTATACTGTAAGCAACAAGATAGATGAGACACCATCCCATTTATATTATGCTAAGCATGAATGGGTGTACATGAAACAGTTTTAGCTTTTACATCAGAAAATGGTTAAGTGTCCTTAAAAAGTTCATTGTTAAAAAAAAAAAAACAAAACCAAAAAACACCAAACCCAAAAAACAACCCACCACCACCACCAAAAAAAAACGAACAGCCCAACAACCCCTACCCCCAAAACCAAAACCAATCCACAAAAAAAAAAAACCACAAAAACACCCAAACCTGATTTTGCTACAAAATTTCACTTTGACACTAGTGGTTATTTGCATGCTTATGCATATGCATTTGCATATTGACATCTTCCAGCCACATTACAGCACACAATTTTCAAAATGTATTCATTAAGCAGTTTAACAACCAACCCTCACACTAAAACACACAAAACAAGACATGCTTATTATTTTCATAGCAGTCTTCCTTCTTTTAAACTGAAAATATTGAACAACAGGGCATATTCAGCCTTTACACAAGGGGCCATCCTGAACAAAAAAAACCCAACAAACAGGAGCAGCGTAGCTTGGGCAGTTAACCAACAGAGTATTGCTTGGGTTTTGCTTAAGAAAGGTCATGTGCCAGAACAGGAAGACATTGTAAAATTTGTGAATGAGAAATTTGTAAATGAGAAATTTGAAGAACTTTCAGTTGTAAACAGCTACTTCATTATTTCATAGCCTGAAATATGTAGTATGTAATTATTGCCATATGCAAAATGCTTCATTAAACTTTATGTCATTGTAGATGTGTGAAGAGCTATTCTGTGTACTTTGAAAGAGTACACAAGAAAACAGTTAATTATCTAATTTTTCAGAAATGAGTAAAAAACAGGGAAGATGTAGTCCACATGAATTACTGCTTCACTGCCAGCCAAAAAAGCCAGGGGCAAAGCCAGATAGAATTTGCTTAATTGGGTCCAGATCCAGTGAAATATATGCATATCTCTAAGCCAGTGAGGGAGCCCACGAAAAACAAGATTTTGAAAGAGTATAAAAGGAACCTATGGCATGGGTTTCAGGTTCAACATGTGATTTCTCATATGCTCAGGATTATCTGCATGCTCAAGGATTTTGCATAACATTTTCTTTTCTCAGGGAATTGCCTAGTAGGAAGCTCTAGAAAACTGAAAACTGTCCCAAAGTTTACAGTTAACACCCCATTTCATGTCTTCATTTTTTCAGTCAGCTTTATGGAAACAACACTCCCTGTAAAAGAAGAAAACAGCTATCAGGACTCCTGAGTGTTGGAAACATCTATGAAATTATGGATTTAGAAAAATTTAAACTCTGACAAAAACATGATTCAAAGTGCTCGCACTATATTCAAAAAACACCGAGAAAGGAAAAAACTGCTTGCCACAAGGGAAATCAGAAACATCAACTTATGGGTGACATGTGGTTTTATAGATATTTCCTATCTGGACAGCAAGGCATTCCTTTCTTAACATTTTCTTGAGATAAGACACCCATCTGTCAGATCACTACAGGAAACAGAAGAGTATTTGCCAGTACCTGCTGTTTGACATATTCTGGGTACAAAGCAAGTCTTGACCAGAGCGAATTCCCAAAGGTAGTGGAACAAGACACAGCTCAATTAAGGGGCAAAGAGAGCACAAGTGATGCAGAGGGACAAAGCCACAACAGAAGTATGATAGACAGCTCACGGGCCAGATACCTATACTGATTTAGACACATGGCAGATAAATTATATTTGACCTGCAAAAAAATAATCCTTAACATCCAACTTCCAGTCTAACCTAAACTTTAAACAAAATGTTTCACCAAAATTGATTTAAAAAAAATCCAATAATGTCATATAGAATAGAATCATAGAATACTCAGGGTTGGAAAGGACCTTAAGATCATCAAGTTCCACCCCTCCTGCCATGGGCAGGGACAGCTCACACTAAACCATATCACCCAACACTCCATCCAACCTGGCCTTGAATACTGCCAGGGACGGAGCATTCACAACTTCCCTGGGCAACCCATTCCAGGGCCTCACTAACCTAACAGGAAAGAATTTCTTCCTTATATCCAATCTAAACTTCCCCTGTTTAAGTTTTAACCCGTTACCCCTTGTCCTGCCACTACAGTCCCTAATGAAATGTCCCTCCCCAGCATCCTTATAAGCTCCCTTCAGATACTGGAAGGCTGCTATGAGGTTTCCATGCAGCCTCTGTGCCTGGCAAAATCTTGGAGCAGATTCTCCTGGAAGGCATCTTAAGGCACATGAAAATCAACAAGGTGCTTGGTGACAGCCAGCATGGCTTCACTAAGGGGAAGTCCTGCCTGACCAATTTGGTGGCCTTCTATGATGGGGCTACAGAGCTCATGGACAGGGGTAGAAGAATTGATGCCAACTACCTGGACTTCTGTAAAGCATTCAACACTGTCTCACACGACATCCTTGTCTCTAAATTGGAGAGACATCAATTTGATGGATGGACCACTCGGTGGATAAAGAACTGGCTGGATGGCCGCACACAAAGAGTTGTGGTCAATGGCTCAATGTCCAGCTGGAGACCAGTAATGAGTGATGTCCCTCAGGAATCAGTGTTGGGACCGGTATTGTTCAACACCTTTGCTAGTGACGTTGACAGTGGGATTGAGTGCGCCCTCAGCAAGTTTGCTGATGACACCAAGCTGTGTGGTTCGGTTGATACGCTGGAGGGAAGGAATGCCATCCAGAGGGACCTTGACATGCTTGTGAGGTGGGCTGATGACAAGTGCAAGGTCCTACACCTGGGTGGGAGCAATCCCAGGCACAGCTACAGGTTGGGCAGAGAAGAAATTCAGAGCGGCCCTGTGGGGAAGAACTTGGGGGTGTTGGTCAATGAGAAAATGAACATGAGCAGGCAGTGTGCGCTTGCAGCCTGGAAAGCCAACCGCATCCTGGGCTGCATCAAAAGGAGCGTGACCAGCAGGTCGAAGGAGGTGATTCTGCCCATCTACTGTGCTCTCGTGAGAACTCACTTGGAGTATTGTGTGCAGTTCTGGTGTCCTCAGCATAAGAAGGACATGGAACTGTTGGAACAAGTCCAGAGGAGGGCCATGAGGATGATCAGGGGACTGGAGCCCTTCCCATATGAAGAAAGGCTGACGAAGTTGGGGCTGTTCAGCCTGGAGAAGAGAAGGCTGCGTGGAGACCTCATAGCAGCCTTCCAGTATCTGAAGGGAGCTTATAAGGATGCCGGGGAGGGACATTTCATTAGGGACTGTAGTGACAGGACAAGGGGTAACGGGTTAAAACTTAAACAGGGGAAGTTTAGATTGGATATAAGAAGGAAGTTCTTTACTGTAAGGTTGGTGAGGCCCTGGAATGGGTTGCCCAAGGAAGTTGTGAATGCTCCGTCCCTGGCAATGTTCAAGGCCAGGTTGGATGGAGTGTTGGGTGACATGGTCTAGTGTGAGGTGTCCCTGCCCACGGCAGGGGGCTGGAACTTGATGATCTTAAGGTCCTTTCCAACCCTAACTATTCTATGATCCTAAAGGCAATTGGACTGATGTCAGTTACTCAGTGGTGTAGTTCATATGGTTCCTATTAAAGGCTGTGAGGACCTAGCATCTAATTACTTCCTGTTTCTCTGTCCTTGAAGAACAAATAGATTCTAGCTGACAAAAGCTGAATATTCCTGATCCAAATAACAGCTCATGATAAAAATATGGATGCACAAGTACAACTTTGATTTCTCTCCCCTCCTCCCAGATATTTTAGTTACTTCAGTTTTCTTTAAAAGGTGAATGTGTCTTTAAAGAAGAGCGAACATACTGAGCCAGCTTATGCTGCAGTAGCTATGACAACAGACTTTGAAACAAGCATGGAAAAAGCTAGACCTGAATCATAATTTTTTTTAATTATTTTTTCAGTTTACTCTTCCCATGGACTACTTTACGTTTTGCTATGAAATGCTACAGAAATTATTTCTTTTGAATAGTAGAGGCATGGTATCTTATGTAACAGGTTATGTATCAAAACTGTATCATATTATCTATTAGAGTTGAATTACTTAAAAATCAAAAGACAGGAGAATAAGTAGAGTTAAGAGATTTTCAGTAAATAGGCTGAAGTGAGAAGAGGCTGCAGTTCATTTTTTCCTTTCAGTCCTTCCTATCTCCCTTGGGTTAATCTTTTGTAGATGTTATCCAAAATCATGGACAGTATTAACATCACTAGACAGACAATCTTGCTCCCTGTTCATGTCTCCTTTCCCATTCTTCTAACAGAAGGAGCAGACTGCAATCCCCATGACCAAGCACTTCAAAATATCAAGAACACTTTCTTTTAAAAACGGAAAAGAGAAACTCAATACATTATCATTAACATCTTTTCTCACTCCATAAATGTTACATCTGCCCTCTCTTTTTAATTTGAACATGTCCAAGGCTTCACAGGAAAGCCAAACTACGTTACATCCATGCCTATATAGAAGAGAAGTCACTTTAACCTATTTGGAGGTGGCCCATGTCACCTGTGCTCCCAAAGCAACTTATCAAAGTACAGCCATCCATAAGCTCCCACACCCAACCAGATCAGGGACATTATAAAGCACCCTTGCCCACTGACCCAGCTCAGCCTCTCTGAGGTCAGGGTCCCCTGAGCAAAATGTGGTGGATTGTGGGACACCACTGCAGAGCTTGGCACTATGAGGCATGCAGCCATAAAATACAGAAACAGTCGATTGTCATGCTACTGGTTGCTTATTAACTCCCTTAAGAACTGATTGTTGAGTAATCAGTATTCATAATTCTCCCAGAAAGCCAAAAATGAGTAAGTAGTGCATAACACATAGAACAATCTTTTTCTTAAAGTCTGAAACCCTCAATTTTTATTTTTTTTTTCCACTTAGATCTCCCTGCTTTCCCAGGCAAGTGTTTCTTGCTGCAATGAATGAATGAATGGTTGAACAAAGACTGTAAGTAAATATGCATTATACTTTCTGTTGGTGCATTGCTTTTTAGACTTATCTGCCTGACCGCCAGAAATTCGTATTGGGACCATCTCATGTGTAGGTAAACAACCATGGATATAGTCACAAGAGGAGGCTCAGGCCTTGGTCATAAGGCATCTCCACTCACTAGAGTATGGGCTGCCCCACATTTAAATACATTACTCTCATTCACTTACTTTTTGTTCCAAACAACAACCCTCTCATGCTCTTGTACATTTTCCCTGCATTCTTAATAGCTTGAGTCTAACTAAATTGTTGTATTTGTTATTTGCTGATATTTGGACAATTTGAGGTACTTACAGATTTTGTCTATAGCTTGCAAGCAGCTGAAGATCACCCTTGCAACAAGTCCTCTGTCAGAAGAGGAGATTCAGGTTTCATTGACTGCAACAAATGAAACAGATATTTGTGCAACTGCTAAAAAAAGAATAGATGCAACAAATGCAAGAAGCAAAGCCTGAAACCAAGTATAGCCCCATCTTACCCACACTCCATTTCATATGGGGTACTCTGCTTGGATGACTGCATTTAAAGAGAGCCTACTTCCTGGGACAGCTGTTACCTTTCCTCCTAATTTCCCACTTTGGGAGTGGTAAAATTTACACCAAATCTCTTTCTTTCTCATATTTACCAGAATCAGGATGAAAAAGTGCTACCATATATTTTGTTCTTTCCATATGTATTCCAAATAACACGTATTGATAACATCTTTGTTTCTGCATCCACTATGCTCAGCACATAAAGTATTCATTCTCTTTTTGATGATGAGTCTTATGAAGTGCATGCAGAGCTAATTTCAAATTCCTCCTCTTTAAAGTAGATAAGACTTTTTTTTAAACATGAATGCTAGGGAACTGAAACAGAACCCCATTTTGTACTAGAGTTGGTATAGCCTTTCCATTTTTTCTTTCTTCTGCCATGCAGTAGCATTGAGAACTCTGTTTAAGTCTCTCGTGTAGCAAATTTGAAAGTTATTATTTTTTCTTTTGTAATCAAGGAATGAGTCATGGGCACTTGAAGTTTGATAAATGCCCAGAGGCAGCCAGCTCAGTGTATTTTCAGCTCTGACAGCCCACAGAGGGATTTTTTTTTTTTATATATTTTTTAAAATAAATGGAAATAGGAGTTTTTCCTTGTTATATGTAAACAATCCCCCTAACATAAAAGAGGGAAAAAGTTCATGTCAAAGGGGAACATTCACTAAAATATCAGCTTCTCCCTGCTGCAGAATAATTATTAGCATCATTGAATTCCTTCTCTGTTCACAGAATAGATATCCATTTTTTTTCAGAGAAACAGTTTTGTGGCTGCTGCTCCCTGACAGTAAGTGTTTGGGTAGGAGAAACTGTGTGTGAGGGCACTGTTGCAAAGAGAAAAAAAAAATAAAAGGTGCTAAGTTTACAGAAGAACCCCCCTTTCCAGAAGGGCTGTTGACTTTGAGGTCTTCAGCAGAAGCAGGACGTGAATTGCATTTTTTCTAGGAAACAGTCTGATACAGCCTGGAGAAATACCTTCTTAGAAAGAGAAACATTTTTACATATACATACATTGGTGCATTCCAAACCTTGCTCTACTGCATAAAAACAGATACAGTGGCCTGGCAGTATTAAAGAAAGTGAGCATGATGTGCTGGTCATGTACAGTAGCATCTATCAAAACAGACACAGAAATGGCACACTCAAATAGTACAGAATGAGTATGAACCTGTTCATATTATGTCTTAAGTTTTGTGGAAGGCTCCATATAATGTATCACTGGAAAATTTTTTAGTTCACTTAAGTCTTACTGCACCTTTTATTTTTTTTCCCCTATTTATTTCCAGAATTCATAAAGCCCACTGGCTTTCAGCACAGAAATCTAGCATTCAGGCTGCAGAAGTGAATTTAGCACTCATGATGCAAAAATAGTGCTGTCTTAAAAAGGCATTTTTTTTTTCTTATTTATTCTTCAAGGAGAAACTGGAAAAAGAATACCTAATTAAAGTGTTTAAAAAAAAAGAGAGAGATAAAAAAGTGTGAGGGACAACATTTATTTACATCTTTAAAAAAAAATCTCTTCCATGGCTTTTATTTCTGGACTATGAAAACATATCCTTGTCTTGTTTCTCCCATTTTTTTTTCTAGAGCAGACGCTTAAGTAAAAATATCTTTTTATAAAGCTATACATATATTTGCTTAGTCTATTTTTTAATCCCTGTTTCTCTACAATGTTTGATGAAAAACTACTGATGATTTTTGCTGAGAGAAAATTGTTTAGTTAAAGTTCCATGTTAAGTGCTGAATATTCAAAACACTTCTGTGTACTCTAGCTATGAGGATGGCTTTCTTATTTTCAACTCTTCTTCTGTTTCTAACAATTGTAACACTGATTGCCATCCAAGTGTGATTTTAAACCTCCTGGTGTGACGAAAAGAAAGAAAGGTGACTTTCTGAAAGTCTTTTCTTTTAAAGTTATACAAGTATTTTGGACAACCCCAGACTTCCTTTCTAGGAAACTCTGACTTCCTTGGATACTCCCTTGTACCACTAATTTGTGATAATATAGAAGGTCACCTACACAGATCCACATTCCCTTCAACAGTCATCAGATGAGTACCATGCTCTGTGTTTTCTGATGTTTTTTTAATTTGAGTCCCTCAGCCTGTGCTGACATGTCATATTCTTTCTCTGCACCTTAGTCACTTAGGTGTTGAGAACCCTTCTCTGTAGAATGTGGTTTACAGGGGTATCCTTTTCTTTTCCTGTATATAGCACATAACATAAACCCTTTTTTTTTTTGATACTTTAGACCCTATACTCAATAAGTTGTAAAGTGTGAAATAATTGTGAAGTTGTGAAAGAAATTATGTTTTCTATCATTACACTTCAGTATTCAGACCCACCTGTACTCTCCTGTAAAAGGTCAAAAAAACTTAACACAATAGTCAAAGTTTCTTAATCTCAGAATTGTTTTATTTTCTGAAACCAGCACATTAACTACTTAAAATGGCCATAGAGAACATCATCAGTCCTGGCTTGCAGTTTTCAGAGTGCTGTAGACACAAGCTCCAGGTAATTTGTAATGAATAAAGAGGCTACATACACAGGGCAGGCAGTGGGGAGAAAGATGGCTTTGAAAACAACTGGCTGCTTTGTGCTGTCTTTACACTACATCATACACCCGATGAGTACTAAACATAACAGAACCACTTCAAGTCTTGTTAGAAAAACATGCTGTGTCTTCCTAAGAACAGTTGGGTCATTAGTGGTCATTCAGTCAGACAGACCGAGGCTGTCTCAAAGCTATTAGGTAGATGATGAGAGGTTGGTTGCGAGAAAATGTTGTCTTCAAGGATCATACTAAGCAATTACTTGGCTCAGCTGTGTGCAGAAATACAGCCCTTGCTGCAGGGCTGATAGACTGGTGGAAGCCAAAAGGGAAATCAGCACTTCATAAAAGTTAATGATCAAGGATTTACTCCTTATGAGTCCTGCTGATATCAAGATTCAAATGCAAAGCACAATATTATTTCCTTTTCCATTGCTCCCTCCATTTTGGAACAGACTGCCTGCCTTTCTTTTTTATTATTCTTACTGTTGGTTTTTAATATGTATATTTATGAGAAAGCCCTGAATAAGCTACCCTCCAACATTTTCTTTCACTTCACAACCAGTTCTGACTGAGCTAGACCTTTTTTGTCTTCTATTTTCCCAGAGGAAATATCTCAAGTAAGATTAAACATCTTCTTCCAGATGGCCCATTTTTGGTAAGAAAGTTCACACATGAAGCCAAGCACTGGTAAATCTTAAATCAGCATCCTGCACAGAGGGGAGCACTGGCATTCAGAGTACCAGGCATTTTTGACTGCTGCTCTCACATTGTCTGTACTGACGTTAATCCCAAGCAAAGATATTTCTCATGAATGTTAAACACTGTAAGCACGATTGCCCATCTCCCAAGGTTTACAGTGTTAATTTTCATAATTTTATGAGGATTAGTACTATTATTATAGTTCAAAATTATTAATAAATAATTATATTTAAGAACAGCTATTAAGTCAATAATAGAAAATTGTTATCTTTCTCTACTGGCTGGAAATAAGAGAATACATTGATATCCAATGCAGCTTTCCACTCAGTGGCTCTTAAGCATGTATGTATCTATGTTGAGGACACAAGACCAACTGTGAAACATTAAATAACAATAACAAATATAAATAAAATATCTGAATTTATTTTTAAGTTATCACTATAATCATTATTTTATGTTATGTTATTTTATTTTATTTTATTTTATTTTATTTTATTTTATTTTATTTTATTTTATTTTATTTTATTATTTTACCTATGTATCTCCTTCTATTCTACCTGGCATATTTTGATGCTTTTCCATTCTGTAACCAGGTCTGCAAATAATACTCATAGTTACACATTTTTATTTTAATTCATATGAGTGGGAAATGCATGTGAGGTAATTCACAGAAGGGCTTACCACTGATGATGGTGTGCCCTGCAAGAAGTGCCCACAGCAACTAGAATTACAATAGTTGTGTCTGTACAACACAGCCCTGAACTCCTTAAGTCTTTGTACTACTTTAAAAGAATAGGGGTTTATTCCAAACTCTCTGCAATTCACCCAGTGAACACAGGTAAAACGTTTCCTTTCTGATTTCCATTTTCCCGCTGTTAAACATGCATAAAGATACTTCTCATTTTTAAAGTATATTGACCCTTATGGGGGAAAAAATCATGTAAAGATTAATATTCAGTTTTGATGATTAAGATGAGTGTCATAGGGCAGGAAGACACTCAAGCTAAAGTTCAGTTGTATGGTACTATAAAGCAGGCTCAGGTAAATGTTAGTAAGCAACAAATCTAAAGGCAGATACTTTAAGTATTCTGCCTTATGAAACTGCATTTTTGTGAGAAAAAAAAAATTATTGTATTGTTAAAGGAACAATCTGAATTGTGAAGAAAAACTGTTGAATTACAACAGCAGCCACCCAGCAACAGAGCATTTATGGCTCTGCTCAGGGCAGACTGCTCAATCAGGATTTTTCTCACACGCATTATCAGATAAAACTCCTATCATGCAGTTTTGCAGAGTTCAAGTGATGAAAGAGCAAGAAGGGTATGACTTTACTTATTGCTGTGGAAATCTCTTTGTCATCTATGTCTAAAATCAATGTTTTTTTTATTCCAGATAGAAAAGTTTTCATTAACTCCCCAGCATCTTCCCTTCACCCCAGTGTTCCTTTCTTCACACATGCATATACAGCATTTTTATTGGAAGATGTGCTTTTATGAATTGTACTACCAAGACTGTTACAAAGTATTTACTGCCATTGTGAAGCACTAGATTATCAGGTCAAAATAAATTATAATCACATAGGACTGTCAAAAATCAAATACATGAACAATAACCTTTTTGTTTGACTATTTCTAGGGTCATGCATGATCTCAGTGGATTATAAATTAAATATTACATAACAGTTATATGAATAATTCATGAGAGTTTTGAGGTTTCATGGGCAATATGATCAGGGCTATCTTTATTCTTGTCAAGTAGATGTGCACTTCTGGTTTCCACCTAAGGTGTCCTTTGCCACAGTTTCCACAGTAGTAGAAAAAAATCACAGTCTTGACCAGGAAAAGGAAAGAAGGGGGAAGGGAAAAGAAAAGGATTATCTAAAAACTGCTGAGCTCTTGAACTGCTCTTTTGCCTGCAAATTTATGTTTTTCCGTGGCAATGTCAATGTAAAGTACAACATCAGTGCTGCAATCCTAGCTTGGTGATAGCTTTTGATATATCTGAAATATTTTTGTGGGTGCAGATGATAGTGAACATACGGCGTTTGGAAGGGTGGCCTACATTGCAAAAGCCTTTAGAATCATCTGATGTTTTACTTTGTGTTTCTTCACCCTCAGTTTTTTAGTCATACTTTCCTAGTAGCAAAATAGTGACGCATTAATGATAACAACTGCACATTCAACTTGTTATTAGTGATGTTACTTATTATAGTGAAAAAGAAAGGTTTGAGAATGCAAAGATGAGTGTAAATGTGAGGAAAAAAGCAGTGTTCCTTTTGTGGCCTGGATTATCTTTCCATAGCATGTGAAGATTACTTGTTAAGCACAAGTTGACTGTACGTGTTCATAGTACATATGCATCTTAAAAAAAAGTCCTTTGTTATCTATAAGTACAGTGTTCTAGATATTTCAGGCAGAGAGCAAAACATTTTTACTGATGTAAAATGTCAGTCTGAACTGCAAAATGCCATAAAGCATGAAGCAAATTATCATCATTT